TGCATTGTACCGCACGACTGTCCTCGAACATGGATCGATTCCCTGCACCGTCGAAGTCATCGTCGCTGCTCTCTGTACTGCCCATCCTGTGGCCGTCCCAATAAACCAACTGCGGCGGTTCATCGGCAGATCGTCCTGAGAGACCGTTTTGCACGCGCGATGTATACGCCGTCGTTAGGTATACCATTTACCAATCAAATCGCGGGTTCCCGAGGACAACAAGATCGACTTCTTGTTGGTTTGCATGTGGCTATGGCTGGTACAATACCTTCATCGCTCGTAGATGGATTTTGTACCATTTCGTTCGTTGGAGCAAGAGCGTACCATATCGAAGGGTGAACAGACACGGATCGAACTGTGACCTCTTGGCGCCACAAGACTCTGGTCTGCAATGCATTCGAATAGGATATTATCAATGTATAACTTCTTGACGCCAGCGATCCAATCACCGATTGAAGCAAAGGAGCCACTGCTACAGGTTCATTACAAGTGCCCTTACCCAACGCCTAGTATGAATTCAACCACAACGAATCCCTTTTCGCGATCCCAGTATGTCCACAGCTCAAGATTCCAATCAACGAAGCGAATCAAGAAACAATCGCTGTACCGCGCGTGGCGTCCCCATCGATGATGAATCCAACTTTAAACGACAATCTGCGAACAATCCCGCCCGATCGATCACGATGCACACCGTCTTGGACTTGGCCATGACCTCGGTGGGTGTCTCTGCCGTCGTGGGCATCTAGGCACTGTGGCGAGAAAAAAAGTAGACGAGTCGTCCACAGAGCAGGGATCGAAGACCAATTCATTACTGTGATTCGTTCACTCCACGAGTACGTGTCCATGGCCTCTTAACGTGCTGCAGTGCACGCTGCTCCACCGGCAAGGCTGAAGTGCTGCAGGTCATTACATGGCTTTGTAATTCACAACCATTTGATCAAGCCGCAGAAAACAGGACCGGAAAAAGTCCGCCTCGACGCCATGTGCCGCGTATTGGTGGACGTACGCGTTGGATGTGAACATGTGATGTGCTTTCTCGAGCATTGCTTCCACTTGCGGAAGCATGGCTTGGCAGTTGCTACCCACGTTGGTTATGCAAGATCGAAGACGGAAGGAGCGGTACCTCAAAAGAGCCGCCGTTTTGTCATATTGACTGAACGGGAGCGGATGATACATGCATGTGAACGGCACCATGGACCACGAAGTGTACCTAATGCATCGATAAAGAAGTCCATCCACTCGCCATCAAGTCAATGTACAAGCGAGAATCTCGAAATGCACTTGGGTCAACTTGGCCCAACTGGTCGCTGTGCGGGCCCCTCAAGAAGAGCATGCTTGCCACGCTTTTGTTGAATATCTGGCCGTTGTCTATACTCGCCACAAAAAGTTAAGAAAATGCCTCTTCGTTTTCAGCGGGGAAATAGCCCACCGAGAGACACATCCCAACGAACGCCTTCGTCCATGCCCGAGTTTGCAATGTGCATCTTGCCGTCAAATCAATTTCTGAACAAGAATCCAGTCACGTACTTGGTGCAAATGCTTGAGAACGCCTGGCCATTGATGTGCACTAAACTCCCGGGACCTCGTTGCCAACTTTACAAACACCCGACAAAATGAAGTGGCGGAAACAAGCATGGATTGGCGCCGATACCTGGGGAACAAGCTTCACGTTGAGGAGCTTGTATCCCTACATGCCTCGTTGCAATTGAGTTCGACCTGCCGACAACAGCCGCACTTTGCACTTGTCGTACGGGATGGGCGCACAAGTGTTGCAGGATAGACGGCAAAGCGCAGCTGGAGAATCGAGATGAGTGCGTTCGTTTCTAAGGGAATGATGAGAAAAGTGTGTTTTGCGAGTGTTTGGCCGCGACTTGAAATGGCAGAACTGGAAGTAACACGGCAGCCAGGTGGTTGGCCAGCACTTGGTTCATTTGAGCAAACGACGGAGCTGGAATCGCAAGTAAACGCTGGCATATTTGATCGGACAGGTCGTTTTCCAATATGAGCATGCCGTCCGATGACTAGACAGCGACGTGAGCACTAGATGTAGACTGAGCAATTCTCAACCTCGGAGAGGCACGCCATCGTAAGGAGAGTGTTGTAGTTTTGTACAATAACTTCGCCAGATCGATATGGCCACACAACTGAGTTGAGGAGATACGACGATGGGTACAGCTCGCGCAAGCTATCGCACACGTAAGATCCTAGAATGCGATTGACATTGAGTTCGACGAGTTCTGCAGGAATCGAGTACCCAATCCAGAACCCGTGCCGCCGGCCAAACTTTGCAGCGCCAGGAATCCCTTGAAGTAGTCGCAACGCTCGACTTCCTGATCCATTGGGAGTTACGTGTTGTTGTGGTAGATTCCATGCCCACCTTTCTCACGACATCCAACACGCCCTCGTGGCAGCCTGTGCCATGAACTGCGTAGCCATACGCCCAATTGTTCCCTGCATTGCCATCATGAACTGATTGAGTAACAACACGCGACGTACCAGACCCACTTTGTTCACACACGATGTTTGCAGCATCGTACTGCCATGGTATGCCTCCAGTCGCGCGGCCAGCGTTCTCAAAGCATTGATTGACCACCTTTGGGCAGGCTACATGCTCAACGAACCACGTCAAGATCACACGAACCTTGGGTTCCATGTCAATCAACACTGCCCGGGCGGTTGCACGTTGTCGTGCTTCATCGTGCCCTGCAATAGTTTTGGAATCGTGCGACCGAAAGAAGCATTCGCGATCTTCCGCCGAGAAATGCTGCAGCTCAGTCGACAACTTGTCGAAGAAGGACAATCCCTACGTGCACATAGTAAATTGTCACTCGTGCTATGGCAAAAGGGATCGGCTCTCCGCACCACTTGATTGCCGCACTGACCCAGCTGAAGTGTCACCACCGACATGAAAATGCCGCCATCAAATTATAAATTCGAGCTTTCGTATCCGGAATTCCAATGGTACGGATAAAAGTATTTCATTTTGTCTCCCACAATATTCGGTAAATTAAGCCATAAGCGCGACTTCACAGAGCAGTGAGAGTAGCATCGAAGCTGCTACTTCACCTGTAGGTGTTGGCTGGTCTGGCTGTAGCGGTGGAGGTGTTGACGGTGGTTTGTTGTCAATGTCGTCGCCTTTGCGCTGCGTACGTTTCAACTTGATCGTGTCACGGTTGCGACGGTACCACTCCTGCTTGTACGCGCGCTGCTTTTCCTTATGTTTGGTGCGGTAGTCTTTCATCTGCTGCAGTCGCCGCTCGCGGTTCCTTGCGTCGTAATCTCTTTGTTTTGCCAAACGATCTTCACGATGCTTCAAGTACCATTCCCGTTCGCTTTCTTTGCGTCGTTGGCGCTTGCGATCGGCGTGGGGGTCGTCCAACAATATGGTAGTCGTGCTACCGACGTGGTTGTCTATCTCTGCGACGCCTGGTGCTGCTTGGGCAGGAGTCACTACGGTTGGTTTGAACACCGGTGATGGTGTTGGGTGGCGGTGGCGCGGACTCGTCAACGGCAACATGATCATGGCAGACGAAGTGATCGAAAATGAACGTCGGCCGCTTGCATTTTGACGTGGGGTTTCAGATCGCAACAATTGTGTGTCGAGATCTGAAACGGCCGAACCGTTACACCATATATTTGTACAAATATACGTTTTCACAGGTATTCACATCACCGGAGGCGAAACCGACACGACTTTGATGGCCAACGTGTGACATCTCCCGACCTCGAACGGCATCGACCGCACCTGCCATGAAGCGTTGGCCGTTCCTCGCTCTGTTCTTTGTGAATGCGATCGCGGTGGGGATTCTTGTGGCGTACGGCCAAGGCACGATGACGAAATCTATCCATGCGGCATGCGGTCCGTGACTCGATGGCTCGTGCTCTCTGTGTAGAAAACATTTTGGCCAAGATCCCGGCACTCCGACAATGCAACACCGTTCAATACCCCCACTGCATTGAAAACCAAGCCATCTTTCGAGCCAGCATGGCCATCGGCGTGTTCTTCTTGTTCATGATGGTGTGGAGTGCGCTGACCGAATGGGGGCACAACCGCGGATGTGCGATCCTTGCCCTCGAGTTGCCCCTCTACCTTGGGCTCTCCATTGGTGCATTCTTCTTACCCAACAGTACGTTGTAGCTAGCTTCGTTGGTTGTGTTCTGATGTCAAGGCTAGGCGTGTTCGACGTGTACGCATGGATTGCAGCAGTCGCGTCGGGCGTGTTCATCGTCATGCAAATCGTGATTCTGCTGGACTGCGTCTGTACGTACGCTTGGGAATTGCTTGAACACCTTGGTCTCACAACGGTACTCCATTTGCTGGATTCAGATGGCATTCGAGACTTTATCTTGGAAAAGATCCAGGCCACGCCCGAAAGCCGCCAATGGCCAGCTGTGTTTATCACACTGTCAATGTTGTCGCTGATCGCGACCATCGTGGGGCTTGTCCTGTTGGTACACTGCTTATTCTAGCACTGAGTTGCTCATGTAGCCACGGTAGTATGTCTACTACTCTGCATTGCCCCTGGCAGTGGTGTTCATCACGATCACTGCTGTATTTGTCGTGGTGCTACCAGTACTCGGGGGTACGTTCTCGACCTACTTCATCTGTCGAGCTAAGCGTTGTCTCAGTCAGCGACAAGATTGGATCGGGGCTGCTCCCCCCTGCGGCCATGACGATGTACCTCGTCTTCTTGTGCTGGCAAGCCGTGTCCAAAATCCCGAACTTCTCCCCGTCATTTGCGACGGGGCCGTCAGCTTCCCCCATCCTCGTGCCCAGCGCCATCATCGGCGCTTTGACTGTGTCCTGGACAAGGTATCCCATTCACCTCGTCCACTTGTCGACATACATCGCCAGCATCTCACACGACGATCGATCCATTCAGTTGGCGAACGTCCGAGTCAACGAAATCGCTGTTTCGACTGGAGATGCACCCTGACACGGCCGACAAGTCGAGTGCAAGCCAAGCCTCCAACGTAACCCTGTTATCTCTATCCGCCGCACGCTGTTATGCTGTCGTCCTAGGGGTCCAAGGAAGCACCGGTTGAACCATCGAGTGGAGTCGTCGCATGGGACAAGGTAGTGGTGGCCGTCCCGGAAGACGCGACTCCCCCTCTGTCCTCGGAGCTAACTGCCCCAAGCTGGCAGTTCTTCTTCATCATGTTTGTCAGCAGCTTTTATATGGCAATGGTGATGACCAACTGGGGCGTCAACGGCGGGTACGGATGCCCTTCGACGAATGTGCGAGATGAACCATTGTGCAGGACCACGACGCCAGAAGTCGTTTGCGTGTGGGTTCAAATCGTATCGCAGTGGGTCACGGGCTTGTTCTTTCTCTGGTCCCTCGTTGCCCCCTTGCTGCTCCCCCATCGCGACTTTTCGTAACTAGTTTGGAAAGTTGACGTTATTGAGAACTCTCCGACCATCCTAACTCTTCTCGTGGCTTATACTGGTGTAATGAAACCACGCTCGACGAGGTCGGAAACTTCTGCAGCCAACCATGGCGCCAGCTACGGAACTATGATTATGCTTCACGTTGCGGCAGGACAGGTGACGAAGACTTACCCCCAACGCCAATGCATGAGCGATTCCAAAGCGAGGGACGTTGCGCTGCCACAATGGACCAAAGTGCACAGTCAGACAGATTTTTCCACCTCTAAGTTAACATCATTCAGTGAACAAAGCGCGGTAAAATGCAGCGAGAGAACAAGGAGGGAGGGTACCTGTACATCTTGGCAGTCTTGCCGTCCAATTCAGGAATGCTTGAATGCGAAGGAGTCTGTCAACTTCACGGAGGACGCGCTGGAAAATGACGTACCAGATCTCGGGATGCGCGGCAGGATACGCGACGGGAATGTCAAATGACATGGCAAACTCATACCGCAATCCTTGGTGATACGCCCAGCACGTCCCATTCCACCTACGAATGGGACGAATGGGAAGAGCTGTTCGATGGACATGGCGCGATGCACATCATGGAGACGTACTTCATGCCTGTGGCGTCGGACGCAATTTTGAACCAGTCACTGTCTGCTTCTTTGTTCATCTTCACGAACTAGCCAACAACAGCATAACAGCATGAACCATTTCGTGGATTGCTCATCGAATCATTCGGGGCATACTTGGATCAACGATGTGTACTCTTCCTTCAATCGCTTGATCCATTCGTCACCATCGCGCGGACCAGCGCGGACACTGAGCACCGGGATCTGTTGCGCCGTTTGAGTCGTCCGGTCATTCAGAGGTGGAGCAATTGCATCATCGTCCATCAGGCCGAATCTGGAATTTGGTTTTCATGCTGTTGGGATTTTTCCAACTGGATCCGTGGAAATACTCTAACAGTAAATATATTTATTCCAATTAGTTCGAGGAATTGTGCAAAATTGACAAAGGAAAGGACCACCATATTTTCATTCAATACAAACTTCAAGTACTGTTGGCCCTGTAGTTGTTTCTAACAGTAAATTGCTGGAATATGTTTTCACATAACATTTATAATCAATCTATTATTGACGATCGGTTGCGTCGTGGGCACGTGGGTCGGGGTCACGGTCGTACTCGGCCATGTTGACGCGGCTAGCCATAAACTTGGCAACTTCATGCACAAATAATTCAGCGTCTTCATGGAGAAAGTCTCGCATCGTGTTGGTAAGGCTCGTGTAAGGATGCGGTGAAGGAGCTGTTGTCTTGGCGTGCTTCGCCGATGGGTGCCGATGGGAGTTGGCCTGGTGCTGGCGAGCGAGGTCCACATACGTCAACACAACATGGAGTAGCAAGGATGTATCGGCATCTTCACCCATAAGGACACGCAGCTCTCGATCGATCCATGGTCTGGCTTGGTCGTTGGATTTTCGAATTGGTTGCCATTCCGTGGTTGGGCGGACCCGTCTGCGGTAAACGAGACTTCTTCTCCGTCGTACAGAGTCAATGGCACGGATCGAAGAAGCGGCGGAAGCAGCGTGCAAAATGTTCACTGTGTCGTAATCGTATTCCGAGCGCAAGTTCGCCAATACGGCTTGAAATGGGGAACGACAGACTGGACACTTCAAGGGAAGCGCACCACGAGTTGCCAAGTGCTTCGACCACATCGCAATGCAGTCATAGCAGAACTCGTGCAGACAGCTCTTGACCAATACCCCGTCGGTCAATTCCTTCATGCAGATTGGGCATATGCCTTGGACAATCGAGTAGTGGAAGGCGTCATGGTCACCGCAGTCACAACTTTTATCCTTCACTTCACCTGCAAGATTATCACGTACACTGATCTCTTCTTGAGTGATAGTGTCCCCTCGCCCTTCATCATCTTGGTTCCACTCGTCGCCATTGTCGCAACACTCGTCTTTGGCTCCCCTGTCGCTCGTGTAATCACTCATGGTTAACGCAATACTCGTAGGCTATTGCCGAATTCGGCCAATCCCAATTATTTTCTTCATCATTTGCATATTAATTGGTCAATATCATTACTTTGAATGAATATTATCTTTTCAAC